ATTACTTAAGTAAAAAAATTGATTGGAAGATTATTTTTTTATGAAATTTTCAATTTATTCCTATTATTATAATTGAGACAGTTATTCTGATTCCTTACAAAATTTTATATTACTTTAAAAAATTTAAAAGATTCTCATTTGGTATGTCAAACTATATCTGATAATCTCTCTGTTATAAATAAAATGCATTGTTTTTCTGGAACCTTACATCTTTTTTAATTTCAGGTGACAGCAATGAAAAGCTACGTCAAAGGATTTGTTATTAAGGAGCCCTGCAAACAAAACAAACTGAAATTATTTGCCATTTAACTATCAATAAAATAATTTTTAGTATAGTTTATGAAAAAATTTTGATTGAAATGTCAATTTCTGAACATTTCGTCTTACATGATTCGTCACCAAATTTACTATGACTCCAGAAGTAAGTAATTAACCTCTGTTGAGTAAATGTACAATGATACATTTTTTTCTATAAAATCTTTTGGTTCTTTGAAAACATAGAACTAACAGCTTTCAACATTTATAAAATATTCAAGAAGTATATAATTGAATTTAGCTACTGTAAATATGCTGTGTCAGAAGTATCTCTTTTAAGTGAAATGAACGCTTAAAAAATTTGACAATTACTTAAAAAAATAAGAGTCTACATGTCTAAACTTTTGTGGGACAGAAGCTGCGAGGAATTTGTGGTAAACCTTATCTGAATGACTATATATTACATTCTATTTCGTGACTCAATTTTTTTGAGGGGCGGGATAGGGTGTTTGGAGCATTCAGCAAGACATGCATTTATTTATAACAAAGGAATGAATGTATTGTTGAGACTGGGAGTATCAGGTGCGTGAAAGAAATACAAAATGGTTACAAATTAATTTCAAAATATATTTAAATTTGCATATTGCTCATAAAAATACTAAGAATGTAACTTAATAGTGAAGTTCTTAGCTTAAAGCAAACAAAACGCCAGTCATTGAGTTTCATTTCAACTCCATTGAATTGTGACTTGATATAAATTAAACAACGAATTGCATTATAATTCGTGATTCGCAAATTACCACGTGAGTCTCTTCTTTGTCTGTGTTAAAAGTACTATCTATACTGTATTATATACTTAATACAATATATACACATCAATCAGAAACGAATGCCCGTTCTCTTTCAGGCCTCGTGTAAAATAAAGAAAACTTGATACAATTTCGCTCAAGGTACTTTTTCGGACCCCCCCCCCTAAAATTATCAATGTTTTTTTGCATTAAATGATAGCTTATTAACGGTATAACAATGTCCTAAATGAATTGTAATGCAAAAATAATTAACAAATCATATAAAAATTACACACATTTTGACTGTAAGAAAAAATCATACCAAGGACCAATATGTTGATAATTTATCTATTGTAAAATGATTAAGTATATTTTATAACATAATTTTTAAACGAAGTACTTTTTTCATGTAGCTTATAAACGCCAAATCCTTCAAGGAACGAAAGATATAAAATTTCAGTATAATAATGCATTTTATATGATACCTTAAGATTTTCATCTAAATTTTTATAGTACGTTCTAAAACTATACGTAACTTATATTTTTTTCTAACTCTGTTAATTTCTATTTTCCAATTGTCAACGGAAATGATTGTTTTTGCATTAAAAAAGCTATACTAAGATCGATGAAATATCAAATAATAAGCGTAATGTGTGATGTTAAAAGACTAATACATCTTTTTATTTATAAAAATAAAGTTATGATGCAAATGTAGAAGTGAATTTCGTCGACTTGCGCTTAAATTTAATGACTAATTTTTAGATTAGTAATGTTTTTTAATTAATTAAATGAGCTGTGGTAAGAGTCATAAGGTTGTAAGTCTCTCTACGTGCTTCGAAAATAACCAGAAATTAATTCTTCAATAAAATAAAATTAAAAAGACAGTAGCAGACCCTTCTCACATTTTTGTTTGAATAAAATAAAATAATTCAGCAGAATTATTCAACAATATTAGTATCTGAGAAAATAATGTTTTGAATGACTAACAAAAAATTTTGGTGAAATGAAAAAAAAATGAAAATACCGCAATAGGTAGATTAAATACAATTACCAAAATATCATGGAAGATTCTTTTTGAAATTAATATTAAATGAAAAAAGACAGCTCCATTTGAAGATTCAACTACACATGAGAAAATAGAATACTAAACATTTAAAGATATTGCACTTTCTGTAGATTTTATCAAACATAAGACATTCATTTATATACTTAGAATCTCTTTGAGCTCTCAATACCCGTGGGCCCAAAGTGATTTACTGGGTGCAAAGTGTGCCCACGGGCTTGAAATTGTACTATGCGCCCTTGGTAAGAAAAATAATATACGCAACTTGGGCACAAACATAAAACAATCGCGCCTTCCGAGCACTCATGTTTGTACTTTTTCCATTGCATCTAATTTGCATCAAGTTTAGGTGCGTTGACTTTTTTGTGTCAGTTAATTGTAAGAATTTGGTAGCATTTTTAGTGCACTTTACAAGTAGGGAATTTTGGTACTGCACGTTTTCATAATTGATAAGTATACATAGAATATACAGAATCATTCATACTTATTAAAAATTTATGTTTAATATTTAAAAAATATTTTACTGAAAATGACAAAAAAACAAAAAAAAAGTTTTTGAAAATTTTCGTTAATTTACTTTTGCAATTTATTACAATGTATTTAATTGCTTACATTTTTAATTATTTTTGGTCCACTTTTTTTTACTTTTATTAGAAATGACTTATTACATATGATTGGCAGGAGCCCGAACTTTTACTTAGTAATAAAAATATAAAGATTACAATGATATTTAAATAATGAGTTTTATGTACGATACTTCAATGAATAGTTATTTTGTCTATAGGAAAATAAAGTACAGTTATTACAGTACAGTTACAAGAATTATGTCTTAGTACGCAGAGTTGGGTACGCTAGTTTTTCTCAATTTCTCTGTTCATGTTTTATAATCATGTATGTTATCATCATTTATTTATGGTAAATAATAAGGAATCAGTGTGTACTAATGTTATCATCCTGCATGTTATGTTGTCCAACCGCTATCATTGTTAATAATAATATAATGATATAATACATATTTACAAAATTTAATTGTAGACAGAGAGAAAGGTTCGTGTACCAAGTTCTGAGTGCCAGCTTTCTAAAAATACTTAATTATTTTTATGACACCAAAAGTTAATATCGTTTTATAA